GAGATTTTCCAGCCAAAGTGCTAAAGCAAAACTGTAATGTTGGGAAATCTTAACTTGAACTTGCATGCACCGTAACGCTGAACTTTTCTTTCTTCATTTTTTTTGTAGCTGATATTCTAATAGATATCAAACTAGATGGGGGCATAATAGCTACTTCATATTTATGTAGCACTATTTTTATTAAAAAGTCTTTAACACTTTATACAATATATAACAGGATCAGTTCATTCAGCAAGGAAAAACAGCCACTTCAGGGTTGAAACCAGACACCTATCTTACAGCCACCAGCAACCAATTGTATGTTTTCTTAGTATAGAAAGACAATACAATAAGAGAATCAGAAATCAGGAACCGAGTCCAGACTAGCATGGAAGCTGGGTGCTGGTAAGGCATATTCTGTCCTCAAAATAAAGAACTTCATATTGCCACCCAGTATGGCAATATGGCCTTTTGTTGGCCTCTGTAGGGAACTGTGAGCAGTCCTCTTCTTCCAAAAAGAACATTACTGAAGAACTGCATTTATTTGAGATGGAAAATTAAGGGGAATTCCACATAGATAAGACTTGGAGAAAAGGCCTTTATTAATAATGTGAAGAACTTATTCAATCAGATCATTTTTTTGTCCATCTTGAAAATGCGAAACTTCCTTCAGTGTATCCAAGAGCTTTGGCCAGACCAGTTTTAAATGGTTCAAAAACAAGTATCGTTATTTGTTTCCCAGCATAGGCCTGAGGGGATTCTTCGTTGCTATCTCCCCAGCATTCCTGCTTGAAAGTCTGGCTGTCAGATGACTGAAAAAATGCTTTTTCCATTGAAAAGTTCAATCTTCTAATGACATCTCAAAATCTTAAAGCTACCCCCCCCCACACGCACACACATTTTAATTCAAAATGTCATTGTAGTCCCTCTAAGGGATGTAGTTCAGGTGACTTATGTTCCCATTCTCCTATACAATCTGGGCTTCCTGTCCCAAAAAGTGCTTTTCATGGTGCACTTTTCCCAAATCCCCATGAGAAAAGGACCGTGCAATAAGAAACTCTGGCTGTGGTACATTTTGGGAGATGTAGTTAAGTCAGAGGCTCCAGCCCATACAGAAGAATGGACGCTTGAGCTACAACTTCAGTGAGGCACTGCAAAACCTGTTTGGAACATTTTATTTTTCACCCAAAGCCCCCAAAATAGGAGGACTTAAAAAAAGTCCCCCAGCTCCTGCTCCTGCAGTGTGGTCTGAAAGGAAGGGTGCACACCTGCGCACTGCCTCTGGATGTGCCCCAGAACAGATATACTGCAACTACAGCAGCCCTTCCAGGCAAACACATGCCTTTGCACACTGCTCCTGCAACATGTACTGCTTTCTCCAACTTCCAGCTATATTTCTTGTTCTTTCTTTTTGCTGTTGTATTTGCTGATTTGATGGTGCCAAAGATTACACGTACGCAGAGCACACTACCTCTACTACCTTACACCCTTCTGTGCCTCACATTTCCTTATATATGGTGCTCTGCAAACCACTCTCTTACCTCTTGTTTATACAAATCATGGAGACATTGAAATTAAGGTTGAAAGTAACCTCAAGAGATTTTTTTTTAGTCCAAACCCCCACACTGAGGATTTATTTTTACTATGGCTGGGAAACCTGTTTCTTTTCTCATGCTGCCTTCAACTTCCTTGTTTCTTTTACTCTCCTGTGTTTACCTGAAGCCATCATTAGGCCTTTTTCTAGCCAATGGTAGGAGACAACCTCTTTAGTTCTTAACCTACTTGGCCTTTAGGATGTAGTCAGCCCTGAAGTTGGAATCATTTTGTGTTCTGTAGCACCCTGTCCTCTTTGGCATTTTGAGAGACTCGTGAAGCCTCCCAGAAAATACAAAGGTACTATAGCAGATCTATATTCTGTCACTTTTTTCCCCTGAATATTTCCAACAGGCATCCTCTTGTTTCCATCCTCAATCACTCATTCAGGTCTTCGTTATACCTTGTCATCATACACATGTATTATACATCTTCCTTTCTGGCCTTCCTAAATCCCCAAATGCATATTCAGTCAGTGCCAGCTCTACTTAACTCCATCTGTTCTTCATGATGGAAAATGGGAAGGAGATAGTTTCACTACCACTGCAACTACCAGCTAGAGAGGAAGTGACAGATGGGTGGGAAGGCAAAGTGTTTATGCTCTTGATGTACAGAACGAAAGGTCTGAAGGAACTGTGTGCAATCCTTTACTGCTAAGCATTACTCAAAAAAATTCTGTGGCTCTAAAGGTAGTGCAGATTTTCTCCAGTGGCACCTTGGGAAAACTGTCTGTACAAGGAAAATATTTTGGCTGTAGTTATAATTTAGGCTAGCACTGATATACACATTTTCTTAAACGCTTTGTTATCATTTTTGTAGTAAAAAGCAGAAATTTCAATACGCAAATAATAAAAAAAAACCCTGCCTTCAAGCAGAAAAAACCCCCACACTTACATGTGAAACAAATTCTCGGGCAATCTTGTGTCCACCAGAAGAAAAGAGCAAAAAGCTAATAAAGAGATGCCTGATAAGGTGTTTGGTGCAAGGTTGTGTTGTATCAGTCATCCTGCTGGCTGCAGCTTCCAGATCTGTGATGGAGAGGGTTGTATGGCTGAAAAGCATCTTTAGGTGGTCACACACAGCTCTAGTTTCTACCTTTTGGGAACAATTCCAAAAAATAAAAAATTAAAGAAAAGTCATATTTGTGGTCATTTCCTTGGACTTTACTCACTAACAGAAGGCAGAATACATCAAAACATGTACAGAGCTTGTATTTCAGAAAAAGAGCAGAACAGGAGGGGCAGTTCACATTCAGTTTACACTAGTTCACATAAATATAAATGGACAGACTGGAACTTTCTTACTTTCTTCGGTCTTGCAAATTATGCAGCCAGGGCATCAAGCCAAGATTTGACCTTTTTGGTAATGAAAGGAAATGGAGAAAGTCCCTCAGCAGAATGCAGTCTAATTTTTACATTGTGGGAAAAAGAACAGAAGGCTCCTTGAGGGCTCACTTCAATATTGCAGCTACAAATCAATTAAACCTCCATGCAATCTGACCTCAACTGATAAAATGTTCTGATAAGAAAGCCAGTTGTTTGCTTCTTCCTGTGTTGTTTGCAACAAGTGCTTTTACTTTGCGGAGTAGCTTATAACAGGCTTATTTTACAATCAGAACACAAAACAGAAGATTTTGCTTCTACACAATAGAAATTGTTAGAGGATCATAACCAACTACTAATTATAAAAATGATTTTGTAACAATTCTATTCACCACATTAAAACAAACTGGTAAGATTAAAAAACTCAGGAAATGCAAACACAAAGGCAAACTATACACCCTAGCCAGTGGGAAGGGGCACAATACCTATCAGGGTTCTTAAGTACGTTTTATATTTAGTTATTTGTGCCTTCTAAACAGGGATCTTGACTACGTGATGGGAACACACAGTCTTACAGAAAGAATAATCTGCAAAAAAACAGCATTTCACCCTGATCTCTCTCAAGTACACAGCTTCTAGTAAAGCATGTGCATAGTCCCAAATAGAAGCTTTACATAAAACAGCTTCAAAGATGCTTTGTAGAGCAGCAGCAGTGATTGTTTCTGTCATGGCAGAATTAACCCTACTAAGGCTTGACACGTCTAACTCAGCAAACTGATGATACCAAGGTTATATGTTCCAAGAGCTGCATGGGCAGTTCCTGGGGGGGAAACAGGTCATCCTCTTGTCTTCTCAGCAAAGCATGCAAATAAAGTTTAAAAATAACAGGCAAGGGCTCTCCTAATATCCAGGGCATGTAATCCAGATTTAATACAATTAGAATGGGGTTTGGGGGTAAAACAGTAAGTGGGTGACTTTATTTAAATTCAACTGATAGGCAACTATGGGAACAGACATGCTGTCCAGGAAAAAATACTTGCAAGGGATGGGTTTAATCCCTAATTCTCTCATCCTTCTCATTGCTAGAGTGGTTACCAGAAAGGAGGCTTTCATGGATAAGTGCAGGAGAATATGAAGCCATACATTTGAAAAGGTATCACACAAAACCAATCTGTGAAAACTATTCTTCAATCCCATAAAGTGATTCATTCCTTTATTGAGAGGAAATCTCCTACTTTCCTCCTAAGAAATTTAGGCATGTCAGTTTGAGAAAAAAGAACCCAAATAGGACAGGATGTTGAGCGCTATAATAACAGCTAAGTGCACCCTGAGACAACTAAGAAAGAGATTTGAAGTACTGAGTGAAAGCATATATTCTAGGAATAAGTGACTCCAAAAAATAAGCTGTCCACCCACGTGTTCTGCAGACCTGAAAAAGTGGAACACAGCGCATATAATATAGTTGTCTATATGTACAGCTACAGACCTTCGCTGTATAGGGGAGATTTCCCCCCCTTCCCTGTCTGCTTAGATGAAATACCGTAGCTGTATTTGCTTATCAGAGTCTCAATGGATCATCTATGAATGAGAGGCATGAACTCCGGTCCAGGTATTTGGTACGCCTCTTAGCTCCCGGATGTTTATAACATAGCAGCAAATCCATAGGAGTCTTTTTGCTGTATATCAAGTGAAGTTGCAGGAACAACATTACCAAAGCCTTTGTTGGAAGGGGACAGAGAGAAAGAAATTCATACGCACATTCTGACTGGGATTTTCCTGAAACTGGTATCCTCAATGGAAATACATGAACAATTTTGTGGAAAGGAAAGTTCTTGCATTGTGATTTACAGACAAAAACAGCAGGTTTCTCTTGTCACACGGAAGAAGCGTGCCAAGATTTTATTATTAAAACATCAGCACCTCCCCCCCACTCTTGGCTGCAAAGCAAAACAAAACAAAACACTCCCCTCTCTTTCCCCCTGCCAAATCTTCACAAATAAAATTATCAATTTATAAATACTTTTTGGGTTGAAGTATATTTAACCTTTAAAAAAGGTAACTATGATTTAAAAAAAAAAAAGAAAAAAAATCTCAACTATAGCACTGGACACTTTTTCCTCTATTGTTTGAGTTAATATAAATCCCATGGACCTTTAACCAGACTGTTACACTCTGCCTTCTGCTCATCCACATAGGAAATTCTAGGATACTTTTCAGAAACACAAAGACCCTCAGTGGTACTTTGAGGTTTTAAGTAGGATCAAGAACAGGTGTATTATCTACATGGGGCCCAATGGCTCACTGTGTTACTAACCCTTTATGTGATTCCAGCAAAGTAAAGGAGCAATAAACAAGTCAAATCTGGCCACTGGGGAACAGATTACCTAGACTAGGCAAAGGTGCTGTAAACTCTCCATATCATACAACATATTCCAAGCATGGGGTTTCCGGTTAAGGAACATGGTACATAACTAGCATGTGGCTGTCTCCAGTTTTTCTTACCTGATTCAACACTCCCTTGGCCCATCAGAAGCCAACAGTAAGTTAAAACACCCGTAAAATGCTTATTTACCCTGGGGGCCCAGCAGGTCTCATGTTGGCTCCATAACAGAGGAGGTGAAAGTAATATGTGGCCCTCCTTTGTCTGTTCCCCTCTCTGCTTCTGTGATGCGACAACTTGAACCAGTCTTCAGAGGTTAAAGCAAAACTAAGTAGGTTGTGCCACAAATTAACACATGAAAACTGAATGAGATCATCAGATCACTCTAAATCAGCGGTTCAACCTTTTTAGACCTAAGGCATTCCTTATTAGATTCATGGCACCACTACATAACTGTGGAGAATTGAGAAGCACCCTGTTTCAAAAAACTACCTTCTTTATTACAGTGCTGATGTCCTTGTGGAGGGGCCAGGCAGTGAGGGCAGGGGAATAGCCAGGCAGGGAAGAGTCTGAGCCTGTGTTTATCTGCTTTTCTCCTCACACCTCCTGGCACCCACAAAAGGATGTTGTGGCACACCCACATGCCCCAGCACCCTAGTTGAGAATCACTACTTTAAAAATTATGATGATAGGTGCAATAAAATCAAGTTATATACAGTTAGATAAGATTCAGTGTTGCAAAATGTGACTGAAGAATGGAGGACTGCTATTATAGTACTGAAAGTGAATTCACTTTGAAAGTGCTACTGTGTTGGGGGCCCTACTTCATAGGCTTTTTGAAAGGTTACCCATAGCGATTTCAAGAGAGTAGTTATAGAAGTACTAAGGAAATGGATTAGAGTCAAATATTTTTGAGGAAAATGTAATCAGAGGCACTATGCCCCAGAGTACACTCAAAAAACACTTCTTAGGTGCCAGTTAGAACAGCCACAACAATTATCCTGGAGCCCTTCTAATGGAGACGTTACAGTTCACAGAAGATCCTGCAAAACACAGCCCTTTCCACCAGATAAATGTCTCACTTAAGTATAAGATTGACTACTGAATACACTCAGCCATACCTACTTCACCCACCATTGTTTGAGTCCTCTGATGATTTTCACTGTATGGATTATAATAAAATGCCAATAACCACAGCAAAGCATCTGAAGACTTAGCTCCTGACTTCAGCACCTGCTCTGCAGCAATGTCAGTCCATTCTCCAAAATGAACAAACAAATACCAGGTCTCAAAGAGGTCAGCATAAGATCTGTAACAAAATAAAATGTGTTCAGTTTCTTGGCTATTACTAATTAAATTCTTGTGAAAGGTGACAGGTTGATGGCATGAAGGCCTGTCTACTTTAACTGTTGACCAAGCTGCTTTCTTTTACTTTAATGATTCTCTTGTTTTTATGCAGTATGTACTTTTTCTGGTACTGCAGGAAAGTATGTGTAAGTCACTTCTTTATGGCTTTTAACTAGGTCCCCTCTACACATTACCTGTATCATGCAATTACCAAGCTGATTGTGCAATTAATTTAGACTGGCTGCACATGCAAATTTAACAAATGTACCATTAAAAGATCCAACCAGCTATAAAATTATTGCTCAAAAATGTGTAATAATTTTATAGCTGGTTGCTATCCAACTTTAATTTGCACATGTAACAGGGTCTGCTCCCATAGCTGGAAGCCCTGTCAGGTGCACAATATACAGGTGGGGCTAGAAGTCCTGCAGCTGAAGGGACTCTCAGCTCTGACAGCGCTGGGCAGCTGTGGACTCTGGGTCCTGGCAGCCGTGGAGCGCAGCTGCAATCTCCCAGCCGGGGAAAGTGGGGAGCAGGGAGTGTTACCACAGCTGGGAGTTTGCAGCTGCTGTGATCTGCCTGCCCCAGGGTTGCATGGGACTCCTAGCTGCAGAAGTCTACTTCTTGCCAGCCTCTCTCTGCACTGGCAATAAACTGTGATGCAATGTAGTGCATGATCCCACAATCACACCTCCTGCCATGAACATATGGCATAGTAGGAAGCACATCTATGTGGATCACGCATTAAATCCCATTGTCCCTTTACCTGCATGTGTAGAAGGGCCATTAGATTTGTAAATGTGTAAGCAAAAATAGCGGTGCAATTGCAACACAGTGTGAAATTCTTTGTGTCAATCAAGAAACTTCCACTGACTTCAGTGGGGCCAAAATTTCACCCACGCATTTTAGAAACCCATACAGTAACAGATGTTCTTTGAAATGTTTAGTCTATATACATACTCAACCGTTGGGTCAGCAGCATTTATTGGGCAACAGACATATCCCTCAGATCCCCATCCTGAGAACTGAGGGCATTGAGGGACAAAGCTGCCTTCAACACAACCCCATTCCTTCATCAGACAAAGAATTCGTAGTGCAAGGAGTTTAAAGCAGCAGGAACTTCAGTAGGTCATCTAATCTAACACTGTGCTTAAGACAGATCCATCCCTGTCTAAAACACCACAGACAAATATTCATCTACCCTGCATTTATAAGCTTTCAACCTCTCTTAGTAATTTGATCTTCTGCCTTAGCATCCTTATAGTTGGACATTTCTTTATATCTAACCTAAAACTCCCTATCTGAAATGTTAGCCTTTGTTCTGCTTCTGTGGAGGCAGAAGAACTGCCCACCATTTTTCTTTTATAACCCATGAGTCTAGTGAAGCCTGAACCCACAACCTTTTAATATTCCCCCAGCTATATGTCAAATGAGCAACCTATTTCACTACAAAGCCATACACACTAACACATATTTTGCCACAAGAAACATGCACCCAATAACTCAGAGTGTCATAATTTAAAACAATTTGACAGATAATTCTCTATCTCAGTCATGGATAGTAATGTCACTGAGAAGTCAGCTTGCTGTTTGAGGAATATCAGTAGGCCAAAACGAATACCTTAGTTTAAAATGTTGAAAGATTTGGAGCTTAGAAGCTTATGCAGAACTGTGAAAGGCTAATCTTATCTTCATATAAACTCTACCTGACAATAGGCTCTTGCTACCTGTACCTGCTTTTCTTGGGGAACGTCCCCTCTGTTATGTTAAAGAAGTGGGAGAAATGTTTGGTCAAATCCCCCTCTGGTGTGTTCAAAGACCAGACAGAAAGCCTTATTCTCTGAAAAGTCCTCTCCCTTCAGGGCATTCAAGAGCTATTTAATTTTCACCTTTGTAGTATGTGTCCAATCCCTCTGCCCCATCATGCTGCCCACAATATACGCCTCCTGGCAGTTTACCACAACTTGTATTGCTTTAAAAAGCAGGAAATAAGATGAGGACTTCTGCTCACTAGCTTCATGTTCTGATTACAAGGGGTAGTTGACACAAGGAAGGGAACATTTCAGCACAGCCTCCTATACATCTACTTGGCATTGCACCGTCTTTTGAAAAAAGGCTTTTGAAAAAAAAAAAGAAAAACGTTGGCTGAAATCTTCCAGGCCTGGAAAGTCCCATGATAGCTGCAGCTGAAACAGGACAGTTGACAAATATGCTTTCCTTTTGTGAGATTCCACTTTTAACTCTTATGAAGGGCTGGAATTAGAAAGCCTAATTGTCTGAAGCTTCAGGTCCTCAAAAGCTCAGAACCAGGTTCTCAGTAAGCTTTTCAGGCTTCTTTACACTCTACAATGTCCTGTTTTCCAATCTTTAAACTAAACTTGTATTTAGGAAGTAATAAGAACATGACAATTAAAGATAAAGAAACCTAATCAAGGTAGCAAACTACATGATTTTTTTTACAGGGTAGTAAATGTAAAGGAAAAAAAAGGGTGAGTGATAAGTAGTGTTTACCTAATGGTTTCATCTTGTACTGCTGCTTTTAGCATGTCAGAAATGTGTTTCAAGTGCTGAGACCAGAATGTAGCTGGCAAATCTGGAAGACAATCATAACTGAAATTGTACCTAATGAAATATGCAAAACAGAATAATATACAGAACTATATCAAGCTAGTGCTAAAATATGCAAGACATAGGATTCAGTTTTCAAGCAAGTTTTAAACAGTCCCAGTTGTGTTTTTTACCCATACCTAGCTTTAAAATGACTGTATATTCTTAGGATGGGAGCCTCATAGTTCAGGTGGTAGGGTGCTGGGCTACAGATTAGAAGGACCTGGGTTTGATCCCAGGTGAGACTGGTGGGTTTCTATTCATCATTTCCCCTTCCAGCACAGCCTCCTATCCAATGGGTTCCAGGAATTACCTGGAGGTAAAGGAGGCCAGAGCATGGTGCTGATCATATCACTTCCTTCTTGCACCAAGGTTAAAGAAACAGTGGGGCCCATCCTCCATTGCCTCAATGGTCTGCAATTAGTCTGTACCTTTATACTCTCGAGATAAAGAGTAATTTACTACCACAGTCCTTCTCAAAGTTCAGCCTATTCTTCCAATTGGACATAACTATCCTACATAAGATATTTCTTAATACTAATGTGATATTAAAATTAAGAACTATTATTCCCACTTCAAACCACCATCTTATTCCTGCTACAACCCTCCATCCTTACCAGAAATCACATATAATAAAGTACGGCACCACACTGTACATGGGTATTTCCAAAAACAAAAGCAATTTCAAAACCAAACCAGTGTGTGTGCAGTGATCATATACTAACCACATAGTTTGTCTACATAGTCATAAATGATGGGTGCAGTCAGCAATGCTGTTCAACAGTGTTCTCTGCTGCTGTGTAGTTTTCCACTCACTGCACACAAAATGGCTTTATTTAGAAGTTGCCTTTACCTTCTGAAACATGCTAGTGCAATGATTTTCTGATGCACTTAAATTAGGGCAAAAGAATCCAAAACCTGTGGCTTAAGACAAGTATCTTTTGTGTTTTCCCAGGTGCCTGGCAAGACAATTCATGATGTCTAAGATGGGACCAGTAAAAATGGACCATTAAAAAGACATGAACACTGATTAGTTTTCCAGGCCTTAACACGTTATTTTAATTCCTAGCATCACCTTTATTATACTGAAATTAATTCACTTTTCTTCTATTAACTTCTGTCTTCTATTCAGTCCCATTTTAATTTTGTTTAAATGTTATCCATTACATAATGTATATTTAGGGATCTCCTTAAAGTGCACTGAACCAAAGGAAAAATCATGGGCTGCTCATGGCGCCTGGCACCATTTTCTCGGTCTTTTTGTAGTGAACCCACCCACTGCTTGAACCTCACTGCTGATTGGCCAAGTGGGCTGCTCCATGAGGCCCCACCCCTCACCACTGATTAACAGAGAAGGGCAGGCCCGCACAAATGGCAGCCCTCTTAGCCAATCAACAGCAGAAGAAGCAGCTGCCATCTTGGCTACTGCCCTTCATGCTGGCAGCTTCCTCCCCCATGGCAGGCTGCAAGGCTGAGCTGCAGCATCTACTAGCTGTCACTGGGGAACCAGCATTTTATTTTTAGCAAGTTTTTTTTTTCCAGTGATTCTGCACAACATTTTGCAAACTGCTGTTTTTTCTGGTATTTATAGAAACCACCATTTTTCACGGTTTCCACAAAAATCACAAAACCACAATTTGAGTACATCCCTATATACAATAGATACCAACAAATAAGAAAACCCATTAAAAATGTATTTTGGTAGTGCTGAAGTGATATTGTGGCTGTGACTATCTAGGAAATGTGAGAGAAGGATTTTTATGGGTGAGATCATATTAAATCAACTGCACAACTGGGATACTCTTTGACAAGCTTTCTAATGCAGTGCAATGCATTCAACAGCTTGTCTATGTCTGTCCCAACTACTCAGTTGGTTCAATCAAAGAAATCACCTATAAAAGTCCTCATCTCACATTAGAAAAACCACTACGTTTCCTAAATCAAGAACTCAGAAGCCAGGAAATGGAAGAATTAAGGTTGCCTGTCTAACCATACTTTGGTTCCTTTGCAAGTTATATGTGAGGTTACTTTTTCTGTAGAGAAATAACTATAACTGCAAGTTCCATTAAAATTGCAAAAAAAATCATGACAAAACTTACCAAAAGGATGCTTGAGTAAAGCTATCACAAGAGGTTGATGGCAGTGAGGAAAGTAGAACTTCAATGGAAATTTATGCTAAAATATAAAGTTAATTTTTAAATAAGCTTTGTGGTCAGCTTCTCAGAACATAAACCTTAACTATACTAAAAGCTTGCCTTATGTAGTAACTACAGACCATAAAGAATCATATAACTAGTTTTAAGTCTAACATTATAATTCTGTATAAAGAAGGGAGAGGAAAAGGAAGAGAAGTCAGCTTTCAAAACATAGTTATTACTGTTAATGGAATTTTTTACTTCAATGCAAACAGGTTTTGCATGGGGGGATGGTGAGGGTTTAAATCTAAATGTTCCCTTTTAGTGTCTGCAAAGAGAAAAAACAACTCTGTCCTAATGCATCTGAGCTAGAAAGAAGAAAGAGAAACCAACTAGTCTAAAATTCATGCTTGACAAAAATCACATTAAAAAAGGGTGAAATAAAAATTAACTTTTTAAAGTTCCTTTAGGTTTAAGAGATTCCCAGCAAAAGTAATGTATGTCTATAGTGGCATTGGACCTACAGTGCAACATGTGACAGGAAACAAAAATACATGCGACTTCTCCCCTGTCAGATGCATACAAGATTTTGTGCACTTTAATTTGGATGAAATACATCCAGGATTAGAAAAATTCCCATGGACAGATTTAGCAGAATATAGGTGAAATCAAGGATAAAACTCAAGTTTCCCCAATTTTATTGACATTGGGTTAATCTATAAACTAGGTTCAAGCTTCAAACTGTGTCCAATTACATGTGATAGATTTATACATCTTAGCTCTTATTCATTGAGCACTATGTTAAGAGTACCAACTTCACTGCATTCAGATTTTCTGAAGTACATTCAGAAACAAAGTGATGTGCCTCACATGCAATTATGATTCTTTTTCTCTTTATCTGTGCCTCATTTCTAAGTATGCATTATAAACAGCAATTAAAGAGAAATTAAAATCCAAAGAAAAGTACATGGGATCCTCAGACTCCATCACTGGCGTAAGACAGTCAAAACTTCAAACGTCATCAAATGAAATTAGAGTAATTAAAAATTAATAATTTCTATACTAAAGTACGCATGCAGTTCATTGGTGTGCTCCAAAACTTGTCATGAAAAAGCATATTGGTCATGCTTACTAACCAAATTATTAATGAATTTCACTTGCAAGATCACTTTAATTTATAAATCAAGGTTGATTTTCAAAATAGAGACAGTTTAAGCAAAATAAAAATGTTTGCCACCTTAGCACACAAACACAACAGAACTAGTGTGTTACTGTACGTGTCTATAAACATATGCAGAACACAAAAACATATGCAAAATATCACAAATAGCGAACAAAGTAAAATCAGAAAAAACAAGTTAAGATGTGACTGAATTGAACAATTAACATAAAAAGTACCCCAAAGCAAACATATTCAACTAATAATTAAAAAAAATATTAAGAAATATATTAAATGAGAATTTTCAAGGCAAATGGAAGATAGCTTGATAGCCCAGGTCCCCCACCTTCTGGGTTAGTGCTCTGTTGAGCAAAAATGTCCATCCCCACCATCACATCCTTCCTCTCCACATACATTTTGTTATGAGCTGCAGGCATGCAATCAGCATCAAACAGTGGCTAAGTCTGCTAAACAGTCAGGGATTGCACAGACCTCAGTGCTCTCCTGTGCCAATTTGCGTTGCAACAGAACTTAGGCAGGAGTTAGGTAAGTAGATGGCTGATTTGTTCATGCACCTACACATACACAGTAACCAAAGCACTTAGGAAACTTTTCAAATTGAACTGAAAGTGCCCCATGCATGTAGTAGCTTAAGCATTTTTGTAGCTGCTAGAAGGAAGGGTGGTCACCCAAATCCTGCCTAAATCTTGTTGCAGTACCTACAAGGTCAATTTGGAATTGTCCCTAAGTCCATATTTAGATATCTGCATGAGTAGTCTGATTTCCAAAATATGCTGATCATGGTTTCTTCCCCTTCTTTAACATTCCTGCCACCTTCCCTTAACAGCACCTGACACAATCTCCAGCTCTAAGTGGCCTGTACAGAAACTGGTAGGACTCTTGCTTGTGACCAACCCAGTGCAGCGTGTTAGGAGTAGGGAGGCTTTCCACAATCTCTTTTTATCTTACACAGCTGCTATGTAGCGCGGCTGGACACAACCTGACTCTTAGAAAGAATTTCAGGACACATCTGTTTGCCTAGCCTTTCTAAACTGAATTATAAATTCCCAGGGGGTTCAGATGAGTTCTCTCCTCATCCTCAGCTGTAAGTAATTTACTATACTTATTTGAAGTAGCATAGGTATCACAGAAATAGGTGTCTTATAGATGCATGTAATAACAACAACAATAATAATACAGACCACACATAGAAGGTAGCCCTGATCCATGATCTTGTGTGCCAAGTTTCAGGAAGTTTTACAGTTGTTTTTTAAACTCTCCAAAAAAGGGTTTGTAACTGAAATGCTGACAGGCAGCAACTTAATCAGGTGCACTGTGAATGAAACTATACAATATTTAGTCACAGCTTTGCATCGAAAAGGCGGGTAATAGTCTATAACTCAATGTCAACAGGTGAAATGTTTTCACATGTATTACTGGCACCAAAGATTTAGCTTCTGGCTAGCTGAAGGGTGTGTGATATCTACTTATATTCTCTACCCAACTACCCCTATGTGCCTAGGGCTGCACAATGTGCTGCTGCCATGCAGTCAGGGTGGCATAAAATTAATCTGTGCAGCATTTATATGCATCAAATTAGACAGCTGTAATTTCAGCTTTAATTCCTACTGCTGGAGGCTAGAAAACAGATTCAATCACAATACTAATTAAAAGCATGTATATTAGCAGTTCTGTGATGAAGACCCGTGCCTTTGCTACCATCTCCCAAAATCAGGTGGAAATTCAAGGCAGTGAAAATTCTCTGGAGTTTAAGGGTGCAGATTATTAAATAGAATAGCTTCCTGGCCATTGCTTATGTCATATCAAAATGGACAGGAAAAATTGACCACAGTGTGAAATTATGCTTTGGATGGAGAACCTGGAAGAGGATTGTGGCCTATGAACATATTTAGATTTTTGCAAGTCTGCCATATTGAAGTTTTCAAGTTTTCTCTTCTAGGTTACCCAGATACAAAAGCAGAAATTGTTTTAGTAAGAGTAGCATAAAAACTACTGCAAAGGCAGAATCAGACTCTGAGTGGGGAACTTTGGAGGCTTAGACTGAGTGGAGCTCTGTGACCCTTTGCCTCATTTGTTGCAATCCCCAGTAAGAGAAGGATATATTCTGGTCCTTTGAACATCTGAGAAATGGACAGACGTAAAGTACTTCATATCCTGACATTTTTAAAGCACTTTTAATTTGTAGCACTTTAGTACTGTACAGACATATAACTGCCTTCAAGCTATAGTGTCTTTATGAAGCACTTTAGAGCTTTCTGCGTCTTGGTCGGAGTAGTTTCTGAAATGGTAGAAAACAATGTATCACACTGTAGCACATCTAGAGTGGTTCTATACATGGAAAATTATGACAAATTTGTAATTTTCCATGTATAGAATCTAATTATTGGGGGGTTGCCTTCAGCTCAAAATTATCTCGGATTCAAGTAAATATAGTATATAGTATATTTACCTCTTTTTTCTCACTAATTTTAGTTTTTTGTTCTGTATGATCCCTGCTGCTACAAAAGAAAGATTTTCAGTCTGAGATGGAGGGCTGTGCTGTAGTTCAGTATGCAGTCACATAATGCATGACCAAGATAATACCACTCATGTAAATCATGGCTTATGTTAGGGGACTGTTCTGACATGTCGGAGAAATTACTTCTGCCTTAAAGACTCCATGTTTAGTGCCAGTTAAAATGCCCAGACTGAGCCTTGGCATTTGCCAGCATTAAAATGACACCATCATTTGGCTCACTGAATCCCATCAGATACTCAAAAATAAAATCATCCTTTTCATGCAAAATCTTATAGCCTCTCATTTAAAAAAAAGATTAAAAAAATAGAGGTTGACTAACCTGCTTGTTATCATTCTGGTGAGCCTGGACAAAGCACTGTGTAAACACCTGTATTATCACCATTACTTCTGGAGCTCCATCAGTTTCCAACACTGCATTCCTGAGCATTGGAAAGTTAAATTATGACAGGTCAGATTATTAGTCTGCCAATCACACCACTGGTAACTGAAAGAAGGAAAAAAAGAGAGAGCACGCTCTTTTCATGGTGTAGCCTCAAGCTCTATCGGAACTCATCAGGCTATTATGCTAGCATGGAAACCAAAGAAACTACTTACTTCAGTGACATTTTTAAAGAAAACATAAACAACACACGCACATGTGCTCACAAAATTATACTGTTCTCAGTGTGTATGTATCATACACATACACAACTATAGATCAGAGAAAAAAGGGCAATATTATAAGGCAGGCTGATACCAAACATTTGTTTTTTAAGGGCCCAATCTAACAAGACACTTAGTCACAAGCTTAACTGCAAGTGTGTGAATAGTTTGATTTAGTTCATTGGGATTGCTCACAAACTTAACTTTAAGCATGGGATTCAGGCTTTGCTGAATCGCAGCTTATAAAAAGTTTTGGTTTCAACAAGTAGAATCTTCTTGGGCATGTTGCAGAGTATAAGAATAGCATTTCATCTTGCTTAAAACTATTGGCTGTTTCACTTTTACTGTGCATGGAAAGAAGCAGTTCAGTCCAATTTGTATTTAGGTGAGGCAATGGAAAAAATTAATGACTTTTAAAAGGCTATATATACAAGGAGACTGAATGTAATGCTCATTGCAGTTCAGGCACTACCGCTGTTTAGCAATTAAAAAAAACATTCAGTTACACCAACAGAAATGAATGTTATACTAAAGGCATGTACAGCTGTCCCATAATTAGGGGCCCATGGATTTCAGAATGCTTTCATTTATAAAATCAATCCTGGCGGGTTTCATATGTCAAGAAGGTGCAGTGTTCTAACCAGTGCTCCATAACACAGTATATGTAACCCCGAACAAGTCAAGAAAGCAACATAGGGGCTGCCAAAGGCAGAGGCAGGGATTTCTCCCTTTTTGAAAGGCTTGTACTGATAGAAAATAGAGAATCTTTGCTTTTCTCTTGAGAGCAGTGTATTAAATTGGGGCTAAGCTGCCTAGAAGAGAACCAGAGGGACTTATTTAGCCTTTTCACATTGTTAAAGATCAGAGATTACCTCAAATGGGAAACAGATGTAATCACAAGTATTAAGCAGAGAAATACAGGTACTCCTCACTTAACGTCATCCCAGTTAATGTTTTTTCACTATTACGTCGCTGATTGTGACAGGGCACAACTCTTGGGGCCAGGTCTCATGCCGACCTGCCCACCTGTCTCTATGGGGCAGCCCGCCCAGTCTTGCCTGCCACAACTATGCTGTTCTCAAAATGGGTGGTAAAATGTGGGAGACTGCCCATTGCATGCCCCGATGCCAGGGGGCACTATCTGCGGCTCCAAACCTCCCCTACACCGCAGCCCGTGCCTGGCAGATGGCATCCATAGTGTCATTATGCTCCCAGCCTAGAGCTGGGCCAAGCTTAGCCCTCTCTGTCAGGCCTCTTTCACACACATTCACACCACCCTCCTCTTACTAGGGCCTCTCACACTCCAACCCCTCTCATAGAGTCCCTTTCTCGCATAGACAACTTGGTCCACCCTGCTCCCTCTTGGAGTGGATCCTGTAGGCCATAGGCTTTATCTAGATCACACCTTGGGTATCAGACATACAGTCTCTCTGGCCTCTCCTGTGACCCTCACCTGGGTAGTGGCTAGCCAAGTTCCTGACCTGGGCCAAGCTTGCCCTGGCCCCTCCTGGGGCAGCTTTACTTAAACATACACAAACACACACTGGGCCCTGTCACGGGGGCACTCGGGTGCCCCGTGTCTAAGTAGGGATTAGGGCCTCTGCTAATTGCCAGGGCAGCTCAGGTGCTGGTTGCTGGAGCAACCAGGTGGGTCAGGTGACCAGAAGGGGGCCGGGCCAGGCCCTTATAAACAGCCAAGCCGGAGCCTGGCTAGCAGTTCCCTTCTGGCAGCCTGAGGTGTAGGAGCTCTGCAGAAGAGCTAAGCCGAGCAGTGCAGCCTGAGCACCCAGAGGGCTGCATTATGTAAGAGTGGAGAGAAGCCTGACCGGGAGGCTGTGGCCAGAGAGCCAGGTGGGCCTGGACTTTATGTTACAGCCGGTAGGCTTATTGTTTTGTTACAGCTGGTAGGCTTATGGTTCCATTGTGTATCTAACCGGAGGACCGGGTGAGGCTGTAGGGGTGTGAGAAGGCCTCACAGGAGCTCCCCAGTAGTCTGGGGGTTCCTGGGTGCCCTGTTTGGGGCACAGAGCAGTGCCTGGGAGGCACGGCGGCTTGGCACCGGTGTGGTGCGGTGTGGGGTTGAGACCCCAGCCCGTGAGGGCGGTACTCGGCCCAGTGAGGGCATAGGACCCTGGTAAGGGGCCAGGAGGCCAGGCACGGCTATATGCCACCTGAGCCCCGGCGCCGGTGAAGGCCCGAGACAGGGCTGGTGTGCAGGCTCAGTGAGAGCCATGGGCGCAAGTAGTGCGGGACGGAGCCCGGAGAGAGGGCGATATAAGCACAGGAAGCGCGAGGGAGCCCAGTGAGGGCATATGACCTGGGCGAGGGGTCAGGGGGCTGGGCACAGCTGCATGCCACCTGAGCCCCGGTGCCAGTGAAGGCCAGAGACAGGGCTGGCGCACAGCAGGTGATAGCACCAGGGGCGCGGGACAGAGCCCATAGCAGGGCGACACGAGTAAGGAAAGCACGGGTAACGCCCGTAGAAGGGCGAGTACACCAGGGAGCCCCGAGAAGGGCAGGGGCCAGCGTGAAGCTGAAGTAGGGCGGGCGCCGGTGAAGGCCCGGGACAGGGCTGGCACCATTAATAGTCCGAAGAAGGGCCATTGCGCGGGTACAAGCCCGGAGAGGGCAGGGTGTGCGAGAAGCCCGGAGAGGGCAGGGGTGCGAGACAGGGCCCAGAGAGGGCAGGAAGAGCCCGGAGAGGGCAAGGGACCATTCGAGGTCTTATAGACACAAGAACGTCCGGGACAACTGCGAGGCTTGGGGCGTGCTAAAGGGGAGGTAGGAGGCACGCATAGCCCATAAGGCCGGGGTTGCACCAAGTCACCCCATCTGGTACAGGAGGGGCAGTTATTAGCAGAACTCAGTGACCAAGGGGATCTTAAGGCAGCCTCCCATATCAAATTATTATACCAACAAGACGTAGTGGGTGAGAATCGAGGGTGCTGGATCACTCACTTGGCACGGTAGGGGGCACTAGCGGGATCACAGCCACTCCTAGGCCCCACTCCGTGACAGGCCCCCAGCCCACTGGACTCCCAGTCCTCTGTTCCCCCTTTTTGGGACTCCACACTTCCCTCAACTTGCTCTCCAGGGGGTTGGCCCATGTGCTGCCCTTCAGGCTGTCCCACAGCCCTATGCAGCACACCCTTGCTGGGCTGCCCTTCAGGCTGACTCTCAGCCCTCTTCTGGGCCCTCACTATCACCCCCTCTCTGGGGTTGCACATCTACTCCCTCCTTCAGGAGTCCACGGTTTCCCGCCCCTGTGGAGGCTCAAGTGGCTGCAGCCATGCCTGGCCCCACCTGGATCTTATATCCTCTTTGGGCTCAGGTGGCCATAGCTGTGCCTGACCCCTTGTACCCCAGTGTGGTGGGGACTAGGGGTTAAGGTACCCCAACTCGCCTTTCATCGGGGTGGTAACTGGCCTGGCATTTCCTGGGGATTCCCGTGCCACCAGGAGCCGCACCAGGCCACCCATACCCTGCAGGGCAGAGTTTTAGGTCATGCCCAGGACCAAGAACCTCTTAGCCATCCCCATCAGCTCTTGCCCTTACCTCCTGGTTGTTTCTGCTGCAGCTCAGCTACGCAATGTTTCTGTCTCTGCTGCTAGCAGCAAACTGCTGTATTTATATAGGCAGCCAGTGTTTTAAAATGGCTGCCGCAATCAAGTACCTACTGGCTGCTTGACTCAGCTCTTAAAGTGGCAGGTACTGCAAGTGCACTGCCACACTGATCTATTAAAGAACATACTCATTTAAAGTTGTGCAATGTTTGGTTATAATGTTGTTTGGCAGCCACCTGCTAGTAGGTAACTACTGTCACGTAACTGGATTCACTTAACATCATTTCACTTAAAGTCGCATTTTTCAAGAATGCAACTATGACTTTAAGCAAGGAGTAGCTGTAATACAAAAATAACTAGTGATAACCTGGGCTTCAAAACAGTAAAGTAAGATTCCATTCAGAAACATAAAAAAGTAACCTGTCTGGACTAAAATACATCAAAATACATACACTCAATGAAGTATATATAAAACATGGAAAATAGTTATGCTAAAAGAGGTAAAAGGGTGGGCATCATCCAGGTATAAATGTCTAAGAGAAGATGACTGCAAAAAGGTGACTATTTATCTAAAGCATACACAATTGTATATCTAGTCACGGAGCAGGAAAATACTAGTCCTTCTAGACCAGTAGCTTCCTAAGCTCCCTGTTGTGACTGAAACTGAAATATGGTATTAATTTCTGGGCAGAACCTCACTAAAATTGGAGGGACTTCAGAGAAGAACAATAAAAATGAACACAAAGCTGTGGGGACCAGCTGATCAGAAATGATTAAAGCTAGCTAGTACATACAGATTAATTTACTAATGAGTACAGGGGTAGGGAACATAGTCATTTCAAATAACCAAGAGATCAAATGCCAAGAATGGAAAGGAACTGTTGTACAGAGTGTATGAAGTGAACATAATGGGATACAAGAGAGAAAAGGATAAGAAAAGGAAGTGTAAGCTAAATAACAAGAAGGAAAAAACAGGTCTTCCTTGTAATGAGGTCTATCAGGCTGCATCACAGTATCCTAAGGGACATGTTGAATTTTAAAAATCTGTTAGAACGTCTAAAAATGAGACTGAGCAAAATATTAAAGTGAACTGTCAGGCATAATCCAGCATTGTCAAAATGATTTCATAGACATTTGGGCTGGAAGGAACCCCAGAGGATCATCGAGTCCAGCCCCCTGTCCCAGGGGTAGGAAGTCACCAGGGATCATAGGAT